TGTGCTCTGGGACGTGCACCCAGCAGAGGGCGCCCGTGCCCTCATCCATGCTTTATTCCACAGTGGCTGTTGCCCTGGGGGCCCTAGAGTGGGGGTGGGGAGGACTGGCCCTGACTGGCTGGAGCTGCAAGCACAGAGGGAACAGCAGGCGGGCACTCGGGGGCAGCCCCAGGCCCTGGGAGATGGGCCAGTGTGTGGCCAGGCTGCAGGGCACTGGGGGTGCCAGGCAGAGGTCGTGGAGTAGGGGACGTGATGGGGACGACCCTTCAGGTCGCCTGGGGAGACTGAGCTTGGAGGGGAGAGGCGGGGACAGTGAGATGACTTGAGGAGTCTGCTGTGTGGGCAGGAGGGTCCGGCGGCCAGGGCATGGGGACAGACCAGAAGACCGGATCTGGGAGGCAGGGCAAGGGCAAGAGCAGAGAGCCTGAGCCAGACGTGGGAGACTCGGCAGCTGATGGCGCAGCCCTCCTGCCGGGCGCCTCTGTGCGGCAGTGCCGAGGGCACCCAGGGCATGCGGTGAGGCCACCTGGGCCGGGCAGGACGCAAGTTTCCACCTCTGCATATTTTTATCATAAAGATGTAGGAGTTTTCTAAAACTGGTAAACACAAAGAAGGTCTAAGTTTCTGGCCAAGCCCCCGAGCTGTCTCTGCTGGCTGTGCCCTTCTATCCTGCCCACCGAGGGGCTCCTAGAACAGCACTTAGCGACGCAGGTACTGGGGAGGCGGCTGGGTCGCTGGCTTCATTCCACAGGTGAGAGATGTGCCCCGAGAGGCTGGGGACCAGCTCCGCATCCAACCCAGCTCCCGCCTCTCCTCCCCTCCCGAGCCAGTGGGGAGCGCCAGGAGCACCCCTCCTAGCTCCTCTCCCCTGGGAAGCCATCCCTAGCCCCCAGGGGTTCCTGTCCCCACCCCTGCGTTGGCTTGCTGCCATGTCCTGTGCGGGAGGCATCGGCGACTCCGGGGTCCTTCACCCCGGGCTGGCGCCAGGAGGGCATAGTGGCTGCTCGGCAGGTGCTGGCTGGTGGCCCCTGCTGTCACCGAGGTGCCCACGTGTTCCCGAGCATTGGTGAGTGGTGGGTAGAGGTCAGGGGAGGTGGCAGGGCAGGCCAGAGGGCTTGGCTCCCCTGTACAGCCCGTGACAGCCCCGGCAGCTGTCCCGGGTCCAGGATGGACTGCCTCTCCAGGGTGTCATGTGCACCTGTGCCCAGGTGGGGCTGCACCTCGCTCTGCCCCTCCAGGCTGTCCACCTCTGTGTCTGCTGTGCGGCCGTGGCCACGTCCTAGTTGAGCTGCCAGTGTGGACTTTAGTCTTCGCCGCCATCTGGCAGTGGGACACATTGCCCCATTTTATCAATGACAGAACTGAGGCTGAGAGCAAAGACTCGAGTGACCCCAGCTGGTGCCATGGGCCCAGGTCCAACAGCCCCCTGGCCTGCGCACATGGGGCCTGCAGGTACGTCTGATCCATACACACCAGAGCTGGAGCAGAGCCCTCCCACTCCATCCTCCCCCCACCCCCCGCGGCAGGCCGGCAGCAGGGGCGGAGCCCGCCACACCTTCACAGAACTGGTGGCTTCCCTCTGAGAGGCAGTAGCCACGGAGCCCAAGCAGGAAAGATGCCAGGGTTTGCCTGGGCCATGGCGCTGGGCTTACAGAGCACAGGGGGCAGAGAAGGGTCTTGGATTCCAAGGGGGCAGCTGCGGCCTGGCGCCCCCCTGGCCCTGGCTAGTGAAGGCTGCGGCGTTAGGCCTGGCTCTGGTGGCAGCTGGGACTCCCACTGTGGTCCCAGCTGCCCGAGCTCCAGCCCTTCTGTCAGAGTCCCCTAGTCTGCCTTTGAGGGCACTGAGCTGGTCATGCAGAGGAGTGATGGTGGCTGGGGCCGTGTGCGAGGGCAGGGGCCTGACTGCTGGTCACGGTCAGTGGAGGACCTACCCACACCCCTCTACGTGTGGCGGAGGGAAGTTGAGGTCAGCACCTTGGAAGGGTGAACGGGTGGGTGGGGCCGAGCTCTCCCACTCACCTGCGTGGCCCTGGAGAGCCACCTCGCTCTCCAGTTCTGACCCCCCCCCGCCCCCCCGCCGGTGGAACTCACCTCACTGGGAGAGGATGTGCCTGCAGAGTCCCGTGTAGCCCGGCAGTGGCGGCCCAGCCCCGGCTCCCCTTTGCTGCTGGGGTCGGCTGAACGCCCTCCAGGAGCAGGCCCAGTCAACCTGCTGGAGCTTACAGAGCCAGAGCCCAGCTCTCGGGCCCGAGGAGGCTCCCCAGGGCGACTGAGTCCGGGCAGCAGCCTGGTGCAGAGCCCAATGGTCAAGGGCCTGGGGGAAGGCAGCACCCCCTTTCCCCCCTGCACCTGCCTAGGCCGTGGGGTGGACGCTCAAGGTTTCCTTGTTGAGGACCAGCAACAGGTCTCACACTTCCCAGCACGGAGGCCTTGGCCAAGATGCTGGACTCAGTGGGGCCAAACCAGACTCCACGGGAGGTGTCTAAACTGGGGGTCCCGACAGCACAGATGGGCCGAGTGAGGGCTGAGCAGGGAGGGCCCAAGAATCTGGAGTTTTCAATCCCTTCCCAGGGCCTGATGGCCACAGCCAGAGGCCCTGGCCTAGCCGCACCACGTCCCTCTCCTCCCCACAGACGCCAGTCCCAGTAGCTTAGGCAGGTCGGGGGTCCGTCCAGGCTGGAAGGCTGGGTGGGATCCGTGGGGTTGTCCGGAAGCCCCGGGCCCCTGCCCCTTGCTGCCCTGCACAGGGCGGACAGCTTCCCTTCACGGCCCGTCCATAGCCTGCTCCACTTGAATCCCGCTGTGCTGTAGCCACGGGACCACGCCTGGCTGCAAAGCCGGCTGGGAAATAGAGTCCTGCCCGCTGTGCCCTGCGGGTGACCGGTGTGGAGACGGCCCCCTCCCCTGGGGGCTGGGAGCCGGGGCCAAGGCAGCTCCTGCGCTGACCCACAGCCAGCTTTGTTTGGGGCCCAAGTGGGTGGCAGCTGTAGGCCGGCCTTCAAAATGCTCACGTGACAGAGCGTCGTGGACGAGCCTAGGGGCTTGTGGGGCGCAGCTTCCGCCAAGGTCCTCTCATCCGATGCACGGCGGCTCCTGCCGCCTCGTGGCCTCTCCGCTGGTTCCTTGGCCTTGAGCGCTGGCCTCCACCCGGGTGCACCTGCTGGGACCGCAGCACAAGCAGAGCCTTGCTCGGCTCCCTTCCCTCCTTGAAGTGGCTGTTGTGGCCGGGTCCGAAGCGTCACTGTGTCCTCGTAGGCTCAAAGCCACTGACGAGGGCACTTCGTGGGCGGACGCTCTGGGAGCCCGAGTCCCGCCCGTCCAGGCGTGTGCAGGTCTCCCGTGTCCGTGAGTGGCCAAGGGTGAGCCTGCTCAGCGGCCGCTTGTCTTGCAGAACACGCAGTGCGTCCCGGAGGGCCTGGAGAGCTACTACGCAGAGCAGGACTCCAGCGCCCGGGAGAAGTTCTACACCGTCATCAACCACTACAACCTGGCCAAGCAGAGCGTCACCCGCTCCGTGTCGCCCTGGATGTCGGTCCTGTCGGAGGAGAAGCTGTCCGAGCAGGAGACGGAAGCAGCGGAGAAGTCGGCCTAGGCGGCGGGGCGGGCTCCTGACACCGTGCCACCTGCAGGGAACCGAGGGACTGCGAGGGCCATTTCATGAGTAGAATCACTGATAATGTAGAGGTTACTCATCACGGTGCAATCGCTTCTGTCGCTAATGCTGCTTTGCAAATAAGACTCGCTGCCGACCCCCACGGGCAGACAAGCGCATCTCCGCAGTGCGCAGGCCCTGGCCTCACGTTGAGGGGGCCTCCGTCAGCCCCTTCAGCGGGTTACGGCTGCGTCCACTGCACAGGCCAGGGCTGCGGACTTCAGACAGACGGCCCGTCTCATGAACTGATTGTTTTGAGCCACTTGCCGCGAGCAAACCTTACCCCAGCCATGCCCGGGCGGGCGCTTGCTCGGCGGGCCGCGAGCCAGGCTCCATGCTTCGCCCACTGCTCAGCAGCCGTGTTCGGGGGAAGGGGGACAGAGTACCAGGGACCAGCAGCGGGTCACCGTCCCCTCCCCGGGGCAGGGGGCAGGGGAGACCCTGGGCCTCCCTGTAGGCAAGAAACGCCACGGGTCCTCTGCCTGCCCGAGGTGGGTGGGTCGGCACACGCGGCGCGGTCTGAAAGTCGGTTTCTAAACACGGGTGGGGAAGGTGGACCCGCACGGCTCAGCAGCAGGGCTCCTGGATTCTCCCTGTGAAGCGGCTGTAACCCCTGACGTGCGACACGGCTGGGAGGCCTGGGGGTGTGTGTGGGGGTGGGGGTCGGGTGTGGCACCTTGCAGATACAATGACATTTCAATCCACAACCTTTGTAAGAGAATCACCTTTCAATTTGAATCTTGACATTCAAATGTTTACAAAAACCACCAGTTAGATAAACTAAATGTGTAAGACAATTAAATAGAAAAAAAGATATTCGCAGCCGCCTTCTCCATGTTGTTTGTGCTGTTCCTGGCGGGCGCGTCGGAAGTCACACAGCTGAGGTCAGAAATAAACAACAGTGCAGGCCGGCACGGGGGCCACGGTCAGCCCCACTGCTGCTCCCCGGAATACGCTTAGCGACATCAAAGACGATGGCCACCCATGCCCCCAGCAGGTGGGCGAGTGCTGCCCTGGGCGCAGGCACAGCGAGTGCACCAGCAGAGGCCGCACACTCGCCACGCCCACTCTGTGCAGGGACGCTAGGCCACCGGTGCTGCTGCTGCCACTGACCGTGTGCGCACCCCCCCCCCCCCCGACGACTCAGGCCTTGTTTCTGGCTGTAACAGTTGCTGCCCTGCCGAAATCTCTGGGGGTCGGGGCAGTAGGCCCACACTTCCATGGACCCAGTGATGGGAAAGCAGGCCGCACGTGCCCTGGCTGCCCCTGCCGGGAGCTGTTCTGGGCGGGGTCGGGCCAGGCGGCTCTGGCCGAGGGCCTGGTGGGTAACTCACCGACAACACAACAGGGCCGTCACCAGATTTATTGGATGAACAAGGCAGGTGGGAATTCTCTCAGACCACGCATCCGCTGACTTGGGCAGACAGGAAGCGTGCAGAGACAAGGGAGCGGGCATTCGTGAGAGCCGTCACTAGACGCGTTCTTCCCTGGAGCTCCGGGGCCGGGCAGGGTCAGAGCCGCGCCCGGCCGGCAGCCTCGCCGTCAGGTGGTTAACGCCCCTCCCCGAGCCCTCCCCACCCCCACCCAGTGACTGCTGCACAGGCCACTTGCATGTGTGCTCGTCATGTTCTTTCCCAGCCGCTCGGCCAAGGACACAGGTCTGGGTGTCGCTCCGCGCGGGAATCTGCAGGTGTAGCTCAGGCCCCTCTCCCTGGAGCGGCTCTGACACCCTGGTGACAGTCACGCCCCAGTGCCAGAGACGTGCAGAGGCGCACGCCGCCAGGCCGCCCGAGCCGGCTAGCTGTCGTACCAGTCGAGGAAGAGCAGGGAGAAGGAGCACATCACGAGGAAGAAGAGGATCCACACGCGGAAGCCGGCGTTGTTCTTGATGGCCTGGTGGGGAGAGGGGCGTGGCGTTTCCGTCACACAGGCTCCCCGGCTCGGTGTAGCCGCGCTCAGTTCTACGCTCGCCGTAGCAGGCGGCTTCGTCAGAGGGGAAACCGACAGCGGGCTCCGCTTCCGTCAGCAGACACAGCGGTGTCGCCCCTCTGCTCAGCGCTCCCAGAACACGACTCCCTGGACACCACCTCGGTCCCAGGGTCCCAGGGTCCCAGGCTCCGGCAGCGCAGTGACCCAGTGGGGGTCCCACGTCAGGAAACATGGCTGGGGCCGGCCACAGACAGCGGCCAGGCTCTGGCCCAAGGGGCCAGCGAGCTCCTCCATGTCCTCAGCCGGTGCAGGGAGCCAGCCTGCGCTGCAGGGGTGCCCCCAGCCCCGCCCCGCCCCGCCCCCACCTCACTCCTACTGAGGGTGATGAGCACCTGCCTCTCCACAGAGCCGGAGGGGCCAGGGTCTCAGACCAGGTGGCCCGGGCCCAGCCGGCGGCCCTCACAGAGCACACGCCGTGACCGAGACGGGCCCAGCCGGCGGCCCTCACAGAGCACGCCGTGACCGAGACGGGCCCAGTCGGCGGCCCTCACAGAGCACACGCCGTGACCGAGACGGGCCCAGCCGGCGGCCCTCACAGAGCACACGCCGTGACCGAGACGGGCCCGCCGGCGGCCCTCACAGAGCACACGCCACGACCGAGACGGGCCCAGCCGGCGGCCCTCACAGAGCACACGCCACGACCAACACGGGCCCAGCCGGCGGCCCTCACAGAGCACACGCCACGACCGAGACGGGCCCAGCCGGCGGCCCTCACAGAGCACGCCGTGACCGAGACGGGCCCAGCCGGCGGCCCTCACAGAGCACGCCATGACCGAGACGGGCCCAGCCGGCGGCCCTCACAGCGACCCCAGTAGGCACCAGCGCCCCCGGGGTAGGCATGGGCTACATCTTACAGGGGATTCTTGGGCTCGGGTTTTGCCACCTCGCCCACAGGCCCAGAGCAGCCACGGGGGGCCGGACGAGCGCAGACCTCCCGCCGTCCGCCGCGTGCTGAGCTCTTCGCCCACCCCCACCTGGGCTGCACGCACCAGGTGACCGGCACACCTTTCAGGGATTCCTGTCCAGGAGTGGCCAGCACAGGCCGGGGGCTGTCCCTGTCTGTCTCTCAAGTCCAGAGCAGTCAGCTAAGCGGGTGCGTGCTAGAACACGCGTGCTAGCTTCAAGAGCAGGGCTTCTGCTTTACCAGCGTGTCTTAATCTAGGCTAAAACTTGAAAATCCACACGGGATGCAGGACACTCACGGAAGAGGTTGACTCTGAACACGCAGAGAGGTGGGGCCTGTGGCCCCGCCCACTGCCCGGCCCCTCCTGACAGGGCGTGCGACACCAGCCCAGGCTCCAGAGACCCCTGGCTGATGCGGCACTGCCGGAGGAAAGCCAGTCGGCTGTCCCTCCCCGCGAGGAGTCTGAGCCGCAGTCTAGGGCTCTGCGCAGCCCCTCAGGAGCGGCTGTCGCCGTGTCGGTGGCCCGCGGCTCTGAGAGCGGTGCAGTTCTGACTTCCACTGCATGCGTCACGCCGCGACCTCGCTGCATTTCTCCGTACATGAGACACGGAGGAGCGCGCCCTGCCAGTGGCTACTGGCTACAGGGCTACAAGTAACCACAGTCCCTACCTATCAAGAGCCTGCCACGGGCCAGGTGTGTCACGGGAGGCCGCAGGCATCAGACCCCTTCCACGGAGGAGGAACAGAGCTCGGGAGAGGCCATTCCCGGGCACACGGTGTGGGGGGACCCTGGAGCAAGCCGGTGCGTGGGGGACACACCTCGTCTGCCTGTTCGGTGTGTCACGCGGCTGAGCTGGTGCCGGCCGCCGTCTTGGCGGACACACACCGTCAGCAGTCCCCCAAGGCTGTGGGGGACAGCGCCCTGGAGCTGCGTCCTTGCTCAGAGTGGCCGCCTCCGGCTGCGGCCCAGAGAGAACTGCTCTCTGATGAACCAAGCAGCCAGTCCGACGCACTGAGAAAGCCAAGTTTGTCTTTCAAGCCCTTCCTCTCTGGGCACTAAAGACAAGAGGGCCAGGCGCTGGCAGGTAGGGGCAACACGGGGATTCACGCAGGAGGACAGTCCCCCTCCCGTGAGGCTGGGACAGAGGTGGCGGGGCCAGCACGGGGTGGGGGTGGGGGTCAGGACCGAGGAGCCAGCCGAGTGCAAACCTGCTGCCTGCTGCCACACGCCTCACCCGACCAGGTCACCTCTGACTCTGACAGCAACCTGCAGGGTCCCTCCATTTACAGATGGGAAACTGGGGTCTGGGGGCCACCCAGCTTGCCCACACGGAGAGCCCCCTGCCACCCCGACCTGTGCTGGGAAGCCGACTGAGGAGCGGGGGAAACGCTCACTGGCTGGCAGCACGGCCTCCGCCCACGCCTGCGGGGGTCCACAAGGAATCCCTGAGTTCTGGGCTTCTTGTTGCTTCCCTACCTGTTGCAACACCTTTTCCGTGAATATCTCTTGGAGTCTGGAAATTTCAACCACTTTCCCTTCGATTTGCCTTCGTGAAGATTATCAAGAAAAGAAGAATCAGCAGGTTACTTAGTGACCAACAGTGCCCGGTCTAACAGGAGCGTCACGCCCAGGGATAGGCAGGAGCGGGGAGGGGCGCGCCACGTCGCCTGGGGAAGTGGGGACTGGTTCACTGCTCAGCCCTCCCAGCACACTGCCCTGTCAACCGACCCTGGCCCCAAGGGGTGGCCACGTGCTGCGGCCCCTGCCTATGGGCCGGGATGTAGAGTGAGGCCCCAGCTACAAAACGCAAAGCTCTGGTCAAGTCCCATGTCTGCCTAGTGACCACAGCAACACGTGCTGGCAGAGCACGGGGACGACCCAGCTTCGCGCACGCGCAGCGGGTGAAAGATGGGCACATACACACTCCAGCCAACACCACTCCGTGTTGCAAGGGGAACCCCTCTCTGGTTGGGCAGTGGAGCGTGAGCGTGGGCCTGCTTCAGGGGCGGGTGTGTGTCTGGGGGGAAGCCACACGGGCAGAGACGGACTGCTGCTCCAACACAGCAGCCACAGGCGGGCAGGGGGCGGAGGCGGAAGCTCCAAGCGCCTCCACAGACCCAGGGCCTCTGAGCGCCGGCACGAGAGGGCAAGGACGGCTCCTGCGTGTGAGTGCGGTGACTGTGGAGCCGTGCGGGGAGGCTGCCCACTGTCACGTTCCTGCCCAGGCCTGAGCCCAGTGGGTGGTGCAAACCATCCTAGGGCAGCACGCCACCACCCACTGATCCTCTCTAGATGACGGAGGTTTGGGGCAGCTCCCCTGCCCCCAGCTCCCAACCCCAGGGGCCAGGCATGGACACCCAGTCACCACAGTGAATAAACACAGCCCTCAGCCCCGGAGAAGCCAGACGCCAGCCGACAAGGAGCTGCACGCATACCTCACTTCGTCAAACAAGCTGTTCATCTCCCCAATGAGCCGCTGGTTTTCTTGTTCAAACTGTGAGGAGACAAACAGGTTCAGGTGACGTCAGATGGACTCGGGCAGTGCCCCCCGCGCCCCCACGCACGAAGTCACAGCGAGGCTGCGAGCAGCAGCGGGAGAAACCCAAGGACGGCTGGGCTGCCGCTGGCTGCCGCCTCCGCCTCACTCATCTCCACTCCCAGAACACGCGGGACACGACGGCAGCCGTGAGAGCCCCAGCCTGGCCCCCTGCCTGGCCCCCCGCCCGGCCCCCGGGCTCCCGCAATCTGTCCTGCCTCTGCTTCCCCTGAGATCATGACTTCAACACATCCATTCTGAATTCTAAGTGCAAACTGATGACACACGTGATAAGCTGACAGGGTCTACTGGGCCCCAACTCAAATCGGCGCTCGGTCTCCAACAAGCAGCCGTGAGATTTCCATGGTTTCTGTCTCTAGCACTGTACTTTTTTTTTTTTTTAAAGATTTATTTATTTATTTGAAAGACAGCATTACACAGAGAGGAGAGGCAGAGAGAGAGGTCTTCCATCTGCTGGTTCACTCCCCAGCTGGTCACAAGGGTCAGAGCTGCCCCAATCTGAACCCAGGAGCTTCTTCCGTGTCTCCCACGCAGGTGCAGGGGCCTAAAGACTTGGCCACCTTCTACTGCTTTCCCAGGCCACAACAGAGAGCTGGATTGGAAGTGGAGCAGCCGGGACTTGAACTTGCGCCCATAGGGGATGTCAGCACTGCAGGTGGCGGCTTTACCTGCCACACTACAGAGCCAGTGCCACACCTTCTTTCTTGTATCATCCTAAGAGAAGACTGAAGATGCTGTTGGCACATAAGGTGTAAGACACACTAGGTGTCACATGACCACGCAACGGCGTTTTCTGAGAGCAGGGAACAGACTCCCCAGTCTGATCTCCGATCCACCCGTCAAGAGCATGAGAGCAGTGCTGCGTCCTAGGCAGGTGCAGTCTTCAAAAAGTTCGTGAAAAGGGGCCAGCACTGTGGCATAGCAGGCTAAGTCTCCGCCTGCGGCACCAGCATCCCACATGGACGCCGGTTCGAGCCCTGGCTGCTCCACTTCCTATCCAGCTCCCTGCTGATGGCCTGGGAAAGCAGTGGAAGATTCCCAAGTCCTTGGGCCCCTGCACCTGCGTGGGGAACCCAGAAGAAGCTCCTGGCTCCTGGCTTCAGATTGGCCCAGCTTTGGCTGTTGCGGCCATTTGGAGAGTGAACCAGTGGGTGGAAGACCTCTCTCTCTGTCTCTCCCTCTCTAACTCTGTGTCTGAAGTAAATCTTTTTAAAAATTATATTAAAAAGTTCTGAATAATGTGTATTATGAAAACACTAGGCATGAGTCTCAAATTAAAAAAAAAAAACATTGATGGACACACGCCCTATGCACTGCTGTGGGATACAGCGCAACACAGCACCACATCCCCAGGGGAGGAGCCAGCCGCCAGCCCCTTCCCCAGCCCCCAAGACAGCAGGACACGCAGTTCTGTGAGCCGCAGTGGCCCCTGTGCACTGGAACTGGACACGGACTGCTCTGTCTGTGTCTGCGCCCCCCCCCAGGCCCCACGCCCTCTGTCTGCGCTCCCCCCGACAGGCCCAGCGCCCTCTGTCTGGCCTGCAGCAATCACACTGCAAGTTCAGACCGACTGTCTCCATTTTCACCTACGAGGGAGAACACGCAGTGTCTGGCTTACTTCACTCAACACAGGGCTTGGTTCCATTGGATTCGAAGGAGAAGGATCTGGAGAGGAAGGGGAGGAACGCAGGGCAGAAGCAGAGCTGCCCCAGGCCAGTGACTGCAGGCCATGCTGCCCCTGGTGCACTCCCTGGAGCCGGACCGACTCCGCAGGCCCAACAGGTGCCGCCCTAGACGCGCCTGCCACCCTGACATCGGCTCAACCAAAGGCCGGACGCGTGGGAGGCTGACCACGGGGTACAGCCCGGAGATTCTTGCACACCCGGCTCAGTGTCCACGCCACTTCCTGCGGGCAGGCACAGCCCAGGGTCCTCTGTGTCCTCCCCGTGGGCCTCCCAGGCCCAGCTTCTCTGGGAGCCCTTCCTGACTCGAGTTCTTTCTTTTTCCTGTCCTGGCTGAGCATTTGCTGAACACACTTAGGACATGTACTGCTTTGTGATGAACTGCGCCTCCCCCAAACTCCAGGTGCTCCGAGCCGAGCAGCATTCTTTTTCCTTTTTTTTTTTTTTTGACAGGCAGAGTGGACAGTGAGAGAGAAAGAGAGAAAGGTCTTCCTTGGCCATTGGTTCACCCTCCAATGGCCACCGCGGCCGGTGCGCTGCGGCCGGCGCACCACGCTGATCCGATGGCAGGAGCCAGGTGCTTCTCCGGGTCTCCCATGGGGTGCAGGGCCCAAGCACCTGGGCCATCCTCCACTGCACTCCCTGGCCACAGCAGAGAGCTGGCCTGGAAGAGGGGCAACCGGGACAGGATCCGGCGCCCCGACCGGGACTAGAACCTGGTGTGCTGGCGCCGCAAGGTGGAGGATTAACCTACTGAGCCGCAGCGCCGGCCTCCTTTTCCTTTCTTACACAGCTGTTGAAAATGCTGCCAAGGGCACACTCCTCGTCCAAGGTGCTCTGTGCCAGGTGTGGGGGAGGGGGACAAGGACAAGCCGCCCTGAAGCTCTGGCTGGTCCCTCGCTTGCTGGGGTGCCCACCGTGCCCCGGGCCTCGCTCGCCTGGCGCTGCTCGTCACAGTGGCCTCACTGGCAGCATGGGCTGCTGCAGGTTGGCCTCGGCCTGAACCCCTCCCGGCGCTCAGAAGCCAGCAAACCCCTCCTCAGTGATCCGACCCCCCGGGGGGACTGAATCACCTCCCTGCAGCTCCCCCCCTGCACTTGGCTCCACGCTGGCGTCTGCGTCACACTGGGCCCCGGCTGCCTCCTCTCTGAACCCCAACCTCAGCGCAGGGCCCGGCCTGACAGCCCTGTCTCCGCCCTGCTGCTCTCCTCTGAAAACAGAGAGCCTCTTCCACACACGCCGCTCGGGGCCCTCTGCCTGGGCCTCACGGCAGAGCTGGGAAGCGCCGCTCTGTTAACTGTCAGCGACAGCTCCGGAAGGCTGCGGCCTCGGAGGAAGGCGCGGAGCTCCTTCGGCGGCGTGTGGCTGCTGAGTCATTCTGACTCACTCAGGTAGACTCGGGCTTTTCGGGGGCTGGGACATCAGGTTTTAATTCTTCTAGTGACAAAATATGGCCCTGCCCTTACAAATCCAGTCCTGTTATGCTCTGAAGCTGTTCCTCAACACAATTAACTCGTGGGCTGAGGGGACCCATTTCTGGAATGTTCCTTGGGAACAAAGCGTTTCCGTCTCCTGCCCGCCGAGGTGAGCGGCGTAGCACCGCGCCTCCCTCAGGCCGCCGGTCTCTGTTCCTCCTGGGAGCTCCGCGTCAGCCCTGCACAGCAGGCGGGAGAGGGCTCGGCTCCCAGCTCGCATGTCCTCTGACCCCACGGCCGCCTGAGCCACTTGAGAAATCCCCAGTCCCTGGAGGAGAGACCGGGAACAGGTGCCTTACAGGGTGACGTGCCGAGGGCTGCAGACGGTTGCGAGTGGCCGGGGCCTCCGTTCAGAAGGTGAGGGCGACGAGACTGTGTTTTAAAGGCCCTATTTCCCTCGGCCAAATGCGAGGTCACTACTTAACGAGGCCCAGCAGGCTTGGCTGCGAGGGGACGGCTGGGCGCTGACGACACCCCCTTTCCAGGTTTCAGGAAGGCTCTGCTGTTGCCTGAGGGGCTGACCTGTCTGCCTTAGCCCTCACCACGCCCAGAGGCCCCGGTGAAGTGGACGCCGGCTCTGCGGCCTCCTGGACACTGCCCGGGGAGCCTGGGCAGCAGGCGGAGCTGGCGGTTCTGCGGCTTGCCTCTCCCTCAGTCCTACGCTGAATGACCCTGGGCGGGTCACGGTCCTTCTGCCCCTCAGTCTTTGTCACTAAAACGGGTGATAATAGCAGTAGGGTTGTTAGAAGGAACACAGGAGTGAAAACAGGGAGGGGCATGGCGGCGAGGGTCTGCCGCCCACCACACGGCCACGTGACCTCCCACCGGGACAGGGACCCCGCTGGGCGCAGCGCTGAATGAAGGCCTGGGCTCACGGTCAGCACCACAGCAGACATCTACGTCCCCTCTGAAGAAAAACGGAGTCTAAGAAGTGAGTGGAAAAGGAAGATGAGAGGCTTGGAGGGCGGGGAAGGTGGCGAAAGGGGCCACACAAGCAGGATGACAGCCAGCGCCCTGCTGGGGCCTCTGCTCCACACGCCAGGTATCTCACCAGTCACACTGCCTTCCGCCAGCCAGGCCAGCACGCCACGCCCCTTATCAGAGTGCTGGTTCCAGTCCTAGTCACTCCATTTCTGATACAGTTTCCTGCTAATGCATCCTTGGAGGTGCCAGATAATGGCTCAAATACTCGGGCCTCTGTCACCCACGTGGAAGACCCGGATGGAAGACCCTGGCTTCAGGCTAGTCCAACCCAGGCTGTTGTGGTCATTTGGGAAGTGAACCAGCAGATGGAAGATCTCGCTCTGTGTGTCTCTCTATCACTCTGCCTTTCAAGTAGATGAAAATAAATAGCATTAAAAAAATAAAGCAGTAATTTTCTAGATGTAACATCAGAAAACAATTTGGTTCCACTTCCACTCAGTCTGACCACAAAACATCTGCTAACTCAAGGCATTAATATACCTTATCAGGAGTTATAAAGAGATGTATTATGCAAAACATATAAAACCCTACAATGATTTTGGATATATAACAATGTTCCTTTGGAGAAATAATGAATTAAATTGCTGTTATAAGACTTAATTCATTCTTTAGCCCTGAGGAAAAATTCCAAAACAGTGATTATGAATTATGACCACAATTTGCTCCAACACAATTTAAAACCAATACTGTGGTGTTTCTTTGTTTTCAGAGTTGAGCCTTTTAAATAAATGTTGAATGAGCCTGGCTATACACTATAGTACTTAGTGACTATTCAGTAAGAAAGAGGTGAATGGGGCCAGTGCTGTGGCATAGCGGGTGAAGCTGCCATCCGCAGTGCCAGCATCCCACATGGGAGCCGGTTCAAGACCCGGCTGCTCCACTTCCGATCCAGCTCTCTGCTATGGCCTGGGAAAGCAGTAGAAGATGGCCCAAGCGCTTGGACCCCGGCACCTGCACGGGAGACCTGCGAGAAGTTCCTGCTCTTGGCTTAGGATCGGCTCAGCTCCAGCTGCTGTGGCCATCTGGGGAGTGGACCAGCAGATGGAAGACCTCTGTCTCTCTGCCTCTGCCTCTCTGTAACTCTGCCTTTCAAATACATAAATAAATCTTAAAAGTTGATTAAAAAAAAAAAACAAACAAGAAAGAGGTGAACAGGCAATGGCCTGTCCTAGAAGTTCTGAACAGGACAGTTCTCTGCTCCGCCCACTTGCAGCCACAACAGAAAGCAGGAAGCCCTGTTCACTCCGACTGCTCTAGTGCTGACGCCTGAAATGACAGCTGTGGGCGGGTCTGGCACAGGCATCTTGATGGTGACTGTCAGGACAGCAAAGGGGACAGAAGCCCGGCAGGACGAGTCCCAGTGCGAGGTGCCTCCCTGCACGTGTTGTTACGCCCAGCACTTGGCCACACACTGCACAGCTGCAGTGACACCGTGGCAGACCGCACGTGTCTTGGCCACACGCATGACACGGCAGTGATGCCCCAGGCAGACACAGACCTGTCTCGGTCCCCACCCGTGTCCACAGGGCAGAGTCCACGGCTGCGTGCCCTGCCCTCTGCGAGGAGCTCTTCCCAGGGCTACTGCAGCCGTGCCACGGCAATTCCATGGGGCATCAGTCCTGACCAGATCCAAGCTCAGTCACAGATCACACAGGCAGCGAGCGAGACGGAGGACGCACGCCAGCTCAGCCCAGTGCCAACAAGGCAGGACGGAGAGCCTGGCCCCGGCCTTCCTCAGGCCTCCTTCCGTGTCTGGCAATTTCTAGATCAGGCGTCTGCAAAGCTCAGTAAAACCTTAAGGCTTGCCCAGTGCTTACAGGCGAGAGGGAACTCCATGGACACACACCGCTGGTATTCTAGTTCTAGACGCTTCCCCCATGAAGAGTGGGGGAGGCAAAGCCCATGCAGAAGAACCCCGCTGGCCAGGAGGGCCTCTCAGGAGATCCCACCTTAGACCCGTAGACCCTGACGGCCACACAAGAAAGCCTTCCCGGGGGCAGCCAGCAACACGCCAGCCTCAGTGGGAGGGCCCAGGCGGGGCAGAGGCCAGAGGCCTCCTCACACACAGGAGGCGTGGCCAATGCCCACGTGTCCTGAGGCTGCGCTAGTCATCGAAAGGGCACTCTGGCCAAGCCTCTTGCCAGCGTCAGAAGGAGACGGTAACGCCCGCCACCCCCTAGTGCACCTCCTTTCAATGTCCTGCAGCAGAGAGCACCAACAAGTTCTGTCAACTGTGGACCGCTGCACCAGTGCACCTGACGTCACCTGCAGGCACAGCGCTCAACCTCACAGCCCAGGCAGGGCTGCCCCAGGGTGGCCCCACCTCCGCCACGGGCAGTGAGGGCACAGGAAACCACAGGAGGCGAGGCGAGGCGAGGCGACACCAGTAGTTACAGGCGTTGTTGCTGTTCACTCCTCGAGCTTTCTGCACTTTACCACTACACTCGCAATTCAAACAGTCAAAAAGCACTGGAGAGGCAATGATGAAAGACCCATTTCAGACGATCTGACTGCTGCTAACGACATCTATTACTAGCAAAATTATTCTAAAGCAATTTCTGCTTTACCTATGTTACTGAAAAGTTTAGAACAAATGTATACCAAGAATCAGGAAATCAAGTGGGCAGGTATTTATAAGACTTGTATTTCTAGTCTGAAAAGTTGGCACACGACCAGAACAAGGCATTTGGGAAGACCTCTTAGTAACGCACAGGCCTGGGAAACCAGCCGGAGGAATGATCAGGGAAGGGCACCCTTACCATTTGTATTTCTTCTGGGGACAACTCGTCTTCTCCTCTGCCATCTCCCCAGGTACTCAAGTCAGTCGGCGCTTCAGACACAATCTTTTCTGCTAACAAAAAAAGGGAAAGGGACAGACAAATATTCATTTTAGAAGCGGCTGGCTTACAGAACACAGGCACACTGAAAACCTGGCATGGACTGCGATCCTGCAGCTTTGTCCATACGTGGTCATCTGTTGGTCAACATTCAGGCACTGCCAACACGGTTCTTCTACAACATTTAGGGCTTAAACTGTATGTGTGTATGTGTGTATGTGTGTGTGTGTGTGTGTGTGTGTGAGATGGGAGGTGCACCTGTACACAGTTTCGATACTGCACTGAGTTCAGCAATGGCTGCAACCTGAACAGATGCTCTTCGGAACCAAAGTGAGCTGTACCCAAAACACATCACACTTACAGTCTCCCTCTACTTTTTATTTTTTAAAGATTTACTTATTTTTTATTATTTATTTATTTATTTATTTATTTTTGGACAGGCAGAGTGGACAGTGAGAGAGAGAGAGAGACAGAGAGAAAGGTCTTCCTTTGCTGTTGGTTCACCCTCCAATGGCCACCGTGGCCGGTGTGCTGCGGCCGGTGCACCACGCTGATCCGATGGCAGGAGCCAGGTACTTATCCTGGTCTCCCATGGGGTGCACGGCCCAAGTACCTGGGCCATCCTCCACTGCACTCCCAGGCCACAGCAGAGAGCTGGCCTGGAAGAGGGGCAACCGGGACAGAATCCGGTGCCCCGACCGGGACTAGAACCCGGTGTGCTGGCGCCGCAAGGCGGAGGATTAGCCTAGTGAGCCCCGGCGCCAGCTCTATTTTTTTATTTTTTTTAAAGATTTATTTTATTTATTTGAAAGACAGAGTTACATTGGGTCTGGCACTGTGGTGCAGCGGGTTAACTTCCTCCCTGGCCTGAAGTGCCGGCATCCCACATGGGCACCGGTTCTAGTCTCAGCTGCTCCACTTCCGATCCAGCTCTCTGCTATGGCTTGGGAGAGCAGTAGAAGATGCCTAAGTCCTCGGGCCCTTGCACCCACGTGGGAGAGAGACCCAGAGGAAGCTTCAGGCTCCTGGCTTTGGATAGGCACAGCTCCAGCCATTGTGGCCAATCAGGGAGTGAACCAATGGATGGAAGACCTCTCTCTCTCTCTGCCTCTCCTCTCTGTGTAACTCTTTCAAATAAACAAATAAATATTAAAAAAAAAAAAAAGAGTTTACTTATTTATTTGAAAGGCAGAGTCACAGAGAGGAGAGAGAGATCTTCCATCCCCTAGTTCACCTGCAGATGGCTGCAAAGGCCAGGGATGGGCCAGGCCAACGCTAGGAGCCAGGAGCCTCTTCCAGGTCTCCCACGTAGGTGCAGGGCGCCAAGGACTTGGGCCAATCTTCTGCTGCTTTCCCAGGCAAATTAGCAGGGAGCTGGATCAGAAGTGGAGCAGCTGGGACCCCAGCAGGTACCCTATGGGATTATGGGATGCTGGCATCATAGGCGGCAGCTTCACCCACCACACCACGACGCCTGTCCCCCTCCCTCTATTTAAAGACTGCAAACTATATGGATATTTTCATTGAAAAACATATACAAGAAATGATATACTATCCCCCAATTTCATTCCTCTCCCAGAATTCCTGATAGAGCCCCAGAACTTCATCAAAGCAAACTCACAGACATGCTATACAGATAAGCAACCCCTCACACATTCCTCCAACTCAGAAATAATACATGGCTTTGTGAATGTGATGGTTTGTTGATCTCAAAGCTATCAATAATAACATAATGCTCAGGGGCCAGCGCTGTGGCGTAGTGGGTAAAGCCGCTGGCTGCAGTGCCAGCATCCCATATGCATGCCGGTTCAAATCTCAGCTGTTCCACTTCTGAGCCAGCTGTCTGCTATGACCTGGGAAAGCAGTGGAGGGTGGCCCAAGACCTTAGGCCCCTGTACCTGCACGGGAGATCTGGAAGAAGCTCCTGGCTTTGAATCGGTGCAGCTCCGGCTGTCGCAGCCATCTGGGGAGTGAACCAGCAGATGGAAGACAGCTCTCTCTCTCTCTCTTTTTGTGCCTCTGCCTCTCTGTAACTCTGCCTTTCAAATAAATAAACAAATCTTTTAAAAAATAGCATAATGCGGCCGGTGCCGTGGCTCACTAGGCTAATCCTCTGCCTTGCGGCGCCGGCACACCGGGTTCTAGTCCCGGTCGGGGCGCCGGATTCTGTCCCGGTTGCCCCTCTTCCAGGCCAGCTCTCTGCTGTGGCCCGGGAGTGCAGTGGAGGATGGCCCAAGTGCTTGGGTCCTGCACCCCATGGGAGACCAGGAGAGGCACCTGGCTCCTGTCTTCGGATCAGCGCGGTGCGCCGGCCACAGCACACCAGCCATGGCGGCCACTGGAGGGTGAACCAACGGCAAAGGAAGACCTTTCTCTCTGTCTCTCTCTCTCACTATCCACTCTGTCAAAAAAATAAATAAATAAATAAATAAATAAATAAATAAATAGCATAATGCTCAAAGATTTTCTCCTTACGACCTCTCCGTATCTTGGAGATCTCTCGGGTCAGTTCACGTGCACGGTGGGCACTCTCTAACCAGCTCCATCACGTGCCTTCACAAGGCTGCACTGCTCTGCATGCAACCCTGCGTCCATGACAAACCTTCATGTCTTCAGAGTCCACCAGTGTAACAGGACTGTGTCCCAGGCCACGCTAGGTGTGTGTGGGCGGGGGACACAGAGCTTTTCCCCACTGTGTGTGCTTTGCTAACCTCCAAGGGTTTCCCACACCAATCTCTGTGCTTCCTGGCCTCTGAGCTCATGTGAATATTTTTCTAGAACTTTCTAAGTTTCCATTTTTTGAACGTCCAGACTCACTGCCCAGTTCCAGCTCCTGTTGAGGTCTCCCTCTCAGCTCAGCCTCTGCCCCCACCTCTACCTTCACTTAGGGTACCACTGACTGCCAGGGGCCAGATGGCATCTTCTCCAACCCTTCAACTGGGCGCTCCCTGTGGGGTGGGGCCGAGTTACTTAAGGACAGAGATAACAGGCATCCATAAAAACCACACCCATCTACATGCGGGACAAACAGTGCTGGGGAACAAACTGCAAATGGCTGCATGAAGCTCTCCTCCTGGCTGAGCAGGAGAGTTGGAGAATGACCATCAGATGTGGACACAGGGTCAGGGTGACTGGAGTGCCTCACATCTGGCTAAGTGACCAAGGGTGACAGACAGAACAGCACGTGGCCCCACAGTCTTATGGTAACAGCTAGTGGATTAATACCAATGGTTGATGGACTGGGGTGGAGCCTTGACCTCACTTGGGCAGCCAGCAGGGGGCCCAGCGGGCAGTCTCTGGGTCACTGGGGCTCGCCCTCGGCCTGCAGCTCTTGTTCGGCCTGGCTTTTCCCTCTGCGTCCCAGCTCACGCCTGATGTCCCCCTGCCCAGGCTCCACCACTGTCAGCCCCTCCAGACACCAGACACGCAGAGCTGGCTGATCCTGCACAGGGAGCCTCCACTCAGAACTGGAATAAACTTCTTCTTCCCAAGAGGTTCCTCCAGGATTTTAAAGTGACACAAAGCAATGCCCCAAGTAACAAAAGCAGTGCCTTTCTGAAACACAGGGCGTGACAGGAAGAAACCACCCCTAGCTGCATCCACAACGCTTCCTGTTGTGCACTCCTACATTTCTTCTTGAATTTCAAAAGGGAAATGGAAACCCTGAAAGGCAGAGAGCTGAGGTTTTTTTCTTTGTTTTTTTGATCTTTCTGGTAAATGTGGGTAAACTTAACAAAATGCCCACGAACCAGAACAAACTGTCTCCCAGTTGGCGCTAGGAAGGACATGGAGGGGCGGGCATGTTCCACCTGGAGCACCACTCGGCCTGACCAGGCTATACCGTCTCTGCAACCCTGCCAGAACGCACGGCCCCAAAGACCCAACACAGAGCAGATCCGCTCCCACCGGCACGTGCCCTGAAGATAAAGGGCGCCCACGGCACGTGCTCGGAACACAAAGGGTGCACATGGCATGTGCTCGGAACGCAAAGGGCACCCACACAGCCACTCCTCTCCAGTCCCTACTGCAGTTGTCTGGACAGGAAAAGGCCTCTGGCATGTTTCAGGCTCAGAAAGCTACGACCCAATGCCAGCACTGTGGTGTGGGGGTAAAGCTGCCACCTGCGGTGCTGGCATCCCATATGGGCATGGGTTTGAGTTCCGGATGCTCCACTTCCTATCTGGCTCCCTGCTAGTGTGCCTGCTAGTGTGCCTGGGAAAGCAGCAGAAGATGGCCCAAGTCCTTGGGCCCTTGCACCCACATGGGAGACCCAGAAGAAGCTCCTGGTTCCTGGTTTCAGATTGGCCCAGCTCCAGCCACTGAGGAGATCTGGGGAGTGGACCAGGAGATGGAAGACCTCTCTCTGCCTCTGCCTCTCTGTAACTCCACCTTTCAGATAGACAAATACATCTTAAAAGACGCTATGAGGCACAGAGTTCACTGTCAAACGCAGATCAGTTAGCTGGAGGGCAGCCTGGGCATCCACAGAGCCACACACACCCCGCGCCCACCACTCAGGGCTCTGAAATGAGGCGGCTTGCCCAGCCCCCGGGCTGCGCAGGATCATCTGTGAAGGAGGCTCACGGATCTCGGCCACGGGGCTGCTGTGAGGACGGTGACAAGGTGCGAGCGCGCAGGACCGATCCCGCGGTCGGAGGCAGGAGTGAGCAGGGCCACAGCGCACTAAGGGGAGGGTGCTGGAGAGGACGCCCAGCTCTCCTGCTCCAGCGCACCGCCCATGAGCCACTAGAGCAGACCCTGCCCGGCCACGCCTCAGCCGGTGAGCTGCGGTGGCTCTCCCCACGTGGCGGAGGGGAACTGGCCGCACACACAGCCTCCGGCGCCCATGACAGCTGCCTTGGTGGAGTCCTGTATTTCTTGGCAGCCTGTGTGTGTCAGAACTGTTGTAGTCTCGGGGATGACGTAAGCACGGGACCCCAGACTCACATTTCACCCCCCGACACAGGTCCGGGGCCTCCCTGAGCAGAGCGCCCCACTCTCTCCTCCTGAGTCAGAGGCTCCAGTCCACACCCGGCCAATACACAGCTCCCACGGGCCCCTCCCGGTTCCCAGTGGACAGGCGACTCCTGCAGGCTGTGACAGCGCTGCGTATACAGGTATGAGCTGTGTCCGGCTTTGTACCTGGTGCCCACGTGTCACGAGGCAAGGTGTGCATCTATGTTTTTTGTTTATTCTTTTCCGACAGGCAGAGTTAGACAGTGAGAGAGAGAGACAGAGAAAGGTCTTCCTTCCGTTGGTTTATCCCCCAAATGGCTGCTACAGCCCACACGCTGCGCTGATCTGAAGCCAGGAGCCAGGCACCTCCTCTTAGTCTCCCATGCGGGTGCAGGGCCCAAGCACTTGGGCCATCCTCCACTGCCCTCCCAGGCCACAGCAGAGAGCTGGAATGGAAGAGGAGCAACCGGGACAGAACCAGCGCCCCAACCGGGACTAGAACCCGGGGTGCCGGTGCCGCAGGCGGAAGATTAGCCTAGTGAGCCGCGGTGCCGGCCCAAGGTGTGCGTCTCAGCTCGTACCTGGGAACTCTTCAGAGGCAGGCTTCTCTCCAGAGTCCTTTGAAGGATTCGGTGACGCTTTCTCGGAAGAGATGGCTTCTCTTGTTTTCACATTTGGTTCTGGTTCCAGCTTAGATCTGCAAATAATAATTAGCAGTCACCGCCTTCCCTTCACAACAGGCCTGCTTCCTGACAGAGAGGGAGTCCCACGTGGCCCCTGCGTCTGCTCTCCATGTCCTCTGGGGAGCAGTCGCTGGTTCTGGGCCCCGGGGCCGAGTGGACACAGCCCTGTTTGCAGGAGCAGCTACTGCTGCCTGCGGGGGCGGGGGTGGGGGCGGGGGCGGGGCTGAGCATCCCTCAGCGCTCCTAGCCCAGGTGGCGCCGAACCTCAGAGGAGGGTGCAGTGGCTAAGTGCTGACCGTGCCCCACAGACTGACCCCTGTCTCAGCCCAGGGTGGTGAAGGCTGACTGGCCCGGGTTCAACAAGTCCAGAAAGCTGGATTTACAGCCACACACTGGCACAATCAAGCAGGAGTGCTGTCAACACGTGTGCATCTCCACATGCACGCTGTGTGTGACGCTCCCAAGGACGTGTTAGCCCTCAGATGGCCACTCAGTGAGACCCGCTTGGCTCGGGAACCACAGCTCCTGCCCGCGCCTGGCCCTCGCCCTCCCACAGGGCTCTTCCTGCTGCGGGGCGGTGCTGGGTCTTCCCTCCTGGCTGCGGGCTTGGCTCAGGCTCGCCCACTGACTGCTACCTGAGAAGGGCCCCTCTCTCCCCAGCACCTGCTGGTTCTCTCCACAGCCGTGACCGTGGTCTGTCACCCCCCGTTATCTGTTCACTGCCTCCTTCGCTTGAGTGCCCGCACTGAGAGCAGGTCTCTGCCTCCCTAAGTCATGTCTGCTCCTTAGCCCTGCGTCCTGCATGAGTCCCTGGCATTCGAGCTGTATGTTGAGTGCTTTACAAATATCTGTAAACGGCTACTAAGAGAGAAAAAAATTTGGTTATGAAACGGAGGGCTCTGTAATAGCTTTACTAGAATCAACATAACGAGAAAATCACAGGCAGAAAAGTGTAAAAAGACCTGTAAAGAAGCTCTGACTGTCAGGCACACAGATCCAAGCAGAATGTACGCTAGCATGGCGCATGCCAGCCGGCATTTCTGGAGGGCACTATGCACTGGGCACTTTCTAAGCATTTTATACCACTGCATTGATTTGGCTCCAAAACTTCCCTCTAAGGTAGCCTTCACAGCACCTGCTGGGCTGGGACAGGACAGGACCCAGCTCCAAAGTGCATGGGCTGAGGCCCTGCCCCACGCAGCCGTGTCTGATCACCACGCACCACACGGGAGGGCTTCTGTGGTCATGCAGATCTGAGAGAGATCGCCAACGCCAGGTGGGTGTTCCCTAGACAAGTCTTTGTCTAGGCCAAAATCGTCTGAATTTCCAAAAAGGAAGTCCCTTCCAAACAACCCACATGCACGGCCTTCTTTGTCAGGTTTTTCTGAGACTGGCGTTCCAGGCCAGGACGTCTGGGACCTGCTCCTCTACATTGCCCAGAGAGTGCTCCGGAGCTCCAATCGCACCACTCTTTCCTAATGCTCCTGCGGCACAGTTAACACGACTCAGACCCTGGAGGGACACATATTCACTACCTGGTGCCAGGGGTCAGGCCTGGGGAGCAGCTTGGCAGGGTTTGGCACGGGGCTTCTCCCAAAGGTGCCCTCAGCTGAAGGGCACAGTGGGGCATGTGGAAGATCTCCTTCCTCGCCCAGCTGGTCTGCTGAGTGGTGCTTGTGGGAACCTCACTCCCCCTAGGGGCTGTGTGCGTGTGTTACTCCCTCACTCCCCCAGGGGCTGTGTGCGTGTGTTACTCCCTCACTCCCCCAGGGGCTGTGTGCGTGTGTTACTCCCTCACTCCCCCTAGGGGCTGTGTGCGTGTGTTACTCCCTCACTCCCCCTAGGGGCTGTGTGCGTGTGTTACTCCCTCACTCCCCCAGGGGCTGTGTGCGTGTGTTACTCCCTCACTCCCCCAGGGGCTGTGTGCGTGTGTTACTCCCTCACCCCCCTAGGGGCTGTGTGCGTGTGTTACTCCCTCACTCCCCCTAGGGGCTGTGTGTGTGTGTTACTCCCTCACTCCCCCTAGGGGCTGTGTGTGTGTGTTACTCCCTCACTCCCCCTAGGGGCTGTGTGCGTGTGTTACTCCCTCACTCCCCTAGGGGCTGTGTGCGTGTGTTACTCCCTCACTCCCCCTAGGGGCTGTGTGCGTGTGTTACTCCCTCACTCCCCTAGGGGCTGTGTGCGTGTGTTACTCCCTCACTCCCCCTAGGGGCTGTGTGTGTGTGTTACTGTCACTTCAGGGGGCTCCCTCAGAGATCAGTAACAGGCTTCTTGCTTCATGAAGCCTCAATGCCTTCCATGGCAGTCTCAGAAGGCACGGTGTCATTTCTGCGATATTCACTGCCCAAGGCAGCTGCTACGGTGTGCTCAGGTCTAATGGGGAAGGCAGCACAGACCCACCCCTCATGAAACAGACACAGCACCGCAGTTTAAAGAAGTGCGTGTGGGATGGGCTAGGTTTTGGTGAAGCCATCTTTAGCATCGCAAAAACACACAAAGATAAAACCAATAAGGATATCCATCACGGCACCGTTTAAAATGACAACAAAAGACTTCAATGGTCATCCAAAAGTGCCTCGGGAGGGGTGGTGGTGGCAGTGCTGTGGCACAGAGGGTTAAGCCACCACCTCCAGTGCCAGGATCCCCTGTAGGAGCCTGTTAGTGTCCCCGATGCTCCACTTCTGATCCAGCTCCCTGTTGATGCACCTGGGCCCCTACGTCCCGTGGGAGAGCCAGATGGAGTTCCTGGTTCCTGGCTTGGTCTTGGCCCAGCTCTGGCCCCAAATTGCAGCTATCTGGGGAATGAAACAGCAAATGGAAGATCTCCCTACTTGCCTTTCAAAGAAATTAATAAATCTTTTTAAGAAGTTCTCATTTTACAGTTAGAGAGCTAATGAAAGAAAAGATGCCATCTGCAACAGCCAAAACAGAAGAATAAAAACTATCAAAACCAAAAACTTCAGTGTAAACTTAAGCAAAGTCCAAAGCATACATGTGAAAAAGCAAAGAAATGCTCCTGAAAAAAATCTACTGTAATAAAGGAAAATATACATCATGTTCTTGCATAGAAAAAAATAAATATAGAGCTCTTACGTTCTAGGATAATTTAGAAATGAAAATGTGATCCCAATAAAATATATTCAGGTACCTCCCACCCTGAAGTTTGTCAAGTTAATTATGAAATTCATTGGGAAGCAAGAAGGAATGGTCACAACACACACACACACGAACCCCATGAACCCCAAACACATCAGAAAAAGAGCATGAGTGAATTCTGTAATCCAGGAGTGGAAAACACCATGTGATTCAAATCTGGAAGTAAAGAAGGACAGACTGATACAGTTAACTACATTAGCACTGAGAACAGTGCTTTGCCCAGTAAGTGGCGGGATGCTGTGTGGGAGGGGGTAGCGGTTACACAGGGATCCTCTGTATTCTCTGCTCACTTCTTCAGGAACCTAAAACTGCTCTCTGAAAATCGAGTCCATTACAAACAAAAGGAAAAAAAAAAAACCTCACACAGCATAAATAAAAGGACAAAACGACCAACAACCTCCAGTGACCCAGCCGTGCCTAGCAGACGACCGCCTCTGCCCGGGGAATATCCTTCCTGACAGTGACTCCTGGGCCTGCGGGATTCCAGGTAGTTTACGCTGGCAACACGCCTGAGGGTCCAGCTTGACAGAGCACCGCCATTCTGGATGTCGCCAACACCTCACCCTTTAGAAAACCCCAAACCGTGTGGGATCAACAGAGCCATTACGATAACCTTGTCTTGCCAGACCAGGCCCTGGAATGTTCCTTATCTAACCCCTGAAATGTTAACGTTTCTTGAGAAAACCCAGGTGCACTTCGGTTAGTCACAGCCGCCTTCATCCAGCTCACCCACAGACCCCTTACTGCTGACGCACAGGACAGGGATCCACTGTCGTGTGGCTGCGCACCAAGTCCTCCCACTAAACCACTCTCGCCAGTCCTGCATGGGGTCTGCTAGTTTCACACCTGCTGATTTTCAAACCACTCTGGAACAGGTAAGACATCCAATTTGCCAGGATTTGCAGATTTTTTTTTCCAGTTAATGATGGGAAGTAATTTAACATTTCTTAGCCTCCTTTCCCTCTGTAAAATAGGGCCCTCAGAGTATCTTTCTTGTAGAGGTACTGGTTTAAATGTAAGTACTTACTCAGCACAGTCTAAAACACATAGGAAGAACTCAAGAAAACAGTATTCAGTACTACGCTCATACTGCCGCTGCTCCACGTCACTGTGTAATGAGAAAAGGCAGAGCAGCCGGATGAGTCTCCTGTGACATCCTGCCGCATGCACGTTTTCCTTGACACAGTGCAGACCAACAGAAGACCAGGAGAAAGTGCTGAAGCAACCCACTGAAAATTCCCAGAATTCAGAGAAGGGGCCGACAGAACCTGTACCCGGCACTCAGTGGAGCCTTCCAGTCGCTGGCAACCCGGGCTCTGATCTGGCTGGGGGAGTCTTTACAGCCTCGCAGCGGCGGGGCCTGGGCTGACAGGCACAGGCTGGCTGACTCGGGCAGGCATCTCCCTGCCACGACGCGCAGAGTGTCTCAGCTACCCCGACAATCCCACAAATCCCAAGGCAGCCCGGAGGCTGGGTCCTCAAACCATCAGCTGAAGCACACGTTTAGAAATGGGGCTTGGAGACAGCGCCAGGCTGGATTCTAGACTGCCACTTATGGCAGTGTGCCCTGGAAGGACTTTTTCTAACAATCTCTTTTTTTTGACCTGCGAAATGGAGAAAATGCCAGCTTTCTCACAGGGCTCTCATAGTGTGTGTGAGCTCATCGCAGCGCGGGGCCTGGTATCCAGCAGGTGCTTCCCTGGTTTGCCTTCTGTTTGAGGCCCTAGTTTCCAAGTGACTTCTGGTAATTTTCATTCCAAACCCGAATCACAGGGTTCACTCTGGCTCCCTCCCTTTCACTCTTCCGGCTCCAATATCCTCCCAATATCTATCACTCAAAGTTGTTGTAAAGACCAAG